TCATTTTGTAGTACCAACAATGTTTGTGCAATAGCCAGTGGTACTAAATTACTCTTTTTTTACCTTTGTCCTTTCATACAAAGTTTGATATTGCAAAGTCGTGATGTTGTGTAGTTGGCATTGCTGGTCGTAAAGCATTATTATTACTATTATTTACTTTTATGTTTTTGTATGAAAATAATGGGTATTTTCACTTTACTTTACAGTGTTGCCAAGTGTTGCTTTTGCATATAGTGTTACAAGAGCTGAAATGCATTATCAGGGATTTAGAACCATCTCCTTAGTAAATACACCAAACTAGCAAAAGACCAGAGTTGTGCAATGATTCATCAGTATTAACCTTTCCTTGCACCAAACATCTCCAGAGTTACATTCACATTCCTTTTCAAGTAATACATCAATGCCTGGACACTATTTCTGGTTCTTCAGGGTAAACCACAGACAACTGCTCCCAAAAGGAAACAGAGCCAGCTGTCAGGGTCCAAGTATAGGGGATTCCTTAGCAGATGGCATGTGTCAGAGGGTTTGCGATGATAACAAGGGGAATAAATTACAGATATAGTTTGCCAGTGTTGTTTCAAGACGCACACACTACTGTTTTCATAGTGGTAAGTATATTTTCATGATGTGTGGAGTTTCATAGAGCTGCATCCCCTATTGAGGAAATGGATTTGCAAGACTTACATTAAAGATAATGTAGACTGTATAGATTTCTACATCCTCAGCAGGACTTGTTTTGCAGAGATGTACAATATAAAAAAATAGCTCCAGTTTACCCAAAGACAGAGGACACCTACAGTATATCCCAAAGTGGGGATTTTACCACTGCAAGTGATAGACGCTAGAGCTAGTCATAGCTCTGCCAAATGTGAGTAATTACCATTTCACCATAGCCACTTTATACGAAACATACTGTACTATCAGGTCCTTTCTCTCTTCTTCTCTCCGTTTTATATGACTGAAAGTTGGAGAGACTGATCAAGGATACAATTTCCAAGCTTTAAGAAATCATATCTCATGTTGAATATATCATAGACACACCATCTGGTGTGAACCTAAAGGTTTTCTTTTATACCCCTGGACTTCCTGTCATTGACTATATTTCATCTCCCCTTGGCGCAGCCCCTATCCTTCTTTGTACATTTATGTATTTTGTTCAAAGGGTGAGAATGATCCCCTTTGTTGTGAATGCTGCCTACCCCTTGTTATATTAGCGCTGATCCATTTCTTGTGTTTTTGTATGTTTTACAGAGGGATTCAGTGGATTACCACAGAATGATAAGCAAAATAACAGTAAAATGACTGCACGTTGCTACCCTGAGTAAACACCCAGAGCCAGGCACCTGGGTATGCTAAGACTAGCCTCTTGGGTATCCTTGCGTATGCTAAGACTTGCCCTGGCTGATAGCTCAACACAAAGATTACGATTCAGCTCCCAACTCGCTGGGGCTCTGCATTAACTGTGAGTTTGGAGAAAGCACCTGAGCAGTAGATCATAGGGGGCCATTAGTTATTAAATTGTCAAATATGGAGACTTGACTAATTTTAATTATTAGGAAAAATAGCTGAAATTGACTACTGTTATGTTTAAGGGACACTATAGTCACACAAACAACTACAGCTTAATGTAGTTGTTTTAGTGTCTACAGTCTGTTCCTGCAGGCCTTTTAATGTAAATGCATGCACATGCACTGCCTTTTCTCTAAAACACATTGCATTTTTTTTAGAGAAAAGGCAGTGTTTAAATTACTTCCTAGTAACACCTCTAGTGGCAGTCAAGACAGCTGAATGCTCCCCGTAGAGATGCATTGATTTAATGAATCTCCATGAGGATATGCTGATTGGCGAACTGCAGCATTTTGATGTGCATGCGCAATAACCTTCCAATGCTTTCCTATGGGAAAAAGTGGTAATGGTACCAGAAGTAGAACTGAGGGTGTAGAGAAAATCTAAACAGATAAGAGACTGAAATCCCTTGTTTTGTTTGTATTATAATGAGGAATTAATATTCATTTCCATTAAATTTTTACTCCAGGCACCATGGCTACATCGCTGATTTGAGATGTTCAAATCATTTGGAGTCTGGTATTGCAGCATTTCAGTATCAAGTGCGGAACATACAGAAAAAAAATGCACTTTGCTGCCTGAGGTGGAACTCCACCTCCAACAGACCATTAGCAAGTCTGGAACAAGAGTTCAGGGCTGGCTAATATTAATTCTCTGCATAAAAGGCATCTGCCGTCAGCACCTATAGCATGCTGGTGACAGACACCCAATAGCGGCACACAGTGTTCTCACACTGTTCTCCAGGACTACCCTTCTCCTGTAATGGGGAGTGACATCACTGGAGGAGTAAAGGGCTGCAGGGAGAACTTGGCATTGACAAGGGTCGCAGGTGAGTTTTTTTACTTTATTGCTATCTATTTTTAAAAATGGAGGATACATACCTGTAAGAGTTACTCTAAACAAAAACAGTGTTTTTGGTTGCAGTAACCCTTCAAAATGACCATTGTTGTAAGTGAAAAAATGAAGGATCAAAACCTTAAAATAGGTGCAGATATGCACAAAATGTATAGAGTTGTCTTCATTTTTATTGAAGATGTGATGGTATTGAATATTTGTTTATTTGATGCTTCAATAAAATAACTTTACAATTTTAATTACAGAAGTTTCAATGGCTGAAGCTTGATCATAGAATCAGCGATACATGTATTTCAATAAGATCATAAATAGGTTGAAGAGATGTGGACTTGGAGTAGACCTATGAGGTTCATGATGACCCAGATACCCTAAATGCGTTGAATTTGTGAAACAAAAACCCCAATATCATCATTTGGCATATTTATAGAAATATAATTACGCAAATTTAGCCCTCATTGGCAGTGTGATGTTCACCAATGTGGAATTTGTCATTCAGGTCAACTGAGAATAAACTTGTGGTGTGTTTCATAAAGTCAGACCTCATCGCAGACATTAAGGAATCACAATGGGGAATCAGCTCTAGATAACTAAGCAAAACTGTAAACTAATTAATAAAGTACTTGTGTTTGTCAATGACACAGTGCTGAATTACACATGATTTCTAGTTTTATTGTTTAATATTATTATTTTTTTATTATTGAACACTATGGATATACATCACACCGTGTATACAATATAAACATGGAACAACATAAATACTAAATTCCATTATACAAAAAATAGATAGTGAAAATGCAATTTGCAAAATGTGTTAGCTGTGTTAATATAATTAATATTGTATGTCTCATATTATGAATGGTAATTGTATTATTAAATGGGTACTACAAATATCCCACTTATATAAGATTTATATAACTACCAGAGCTGACCATTGGTTTTGGACATTTTGGAACCAGTACTTAATTGTTTTTGTTGGATAAAAGCAGATGTGTGTGCAATATATAGTCAGTTTCCAGTACTTGTATTAACAAAACTTTCTTTTTGCTTAGCTACTTGCACAAAGCAAGAGTACAGTGCTATATACTCCATCTATTGGTTATTATTTTGCACTCTCAGAAAATATACCAAACCACTTCAATATTAATGGAACTTGTTACAGACTTACCTCCTGTGCTGCATTGCCCCACTTTGGGTCTGCCCTCGCTCCTCCTCCCACAGTCATTTCTGATTTGCATTGCTTGAGGATGCTTTCCTAAGCTGGGCAAACCTCCTCCATGACGTTGACATGCTGGCTTGATTGCCAGCATTTGAATGGAGTGCATGCGCTGTGATTGCTATGTGTGGAGAGCTGAAGGACCTCCTCTGGGCAGGGCTGTATTTGCCGCAAGGCAAACAAGGCATTTACCTAGGGCGGCACTTTCAGGGGTGGTGGCAAAACACGCAGTTCTATGTGCCTAGGCAAGTAAGTATGTCTGTGTCTGTCAGTTAGTGTGTCTGTCACTGAGTAGATTTGTCACTGAGTGTGTGTCTGTGAGTGAATGTGTGTCTGTGTCTGTCTGTTAGTGTGTATGTGTCGGTCACTGAGTATGTCAGTCACTGAGTGTGTGTGTCTGTCAGTCAGTGAGTATGTCTGTGTCTGTCACTGAGTATGTCTGTCACTGTGTGTGTGTGTGTGTGTGTTTGTCAGTAAGTGTGTATGTCAGTGTGTGTAGCTGTCTGTGTGTGTGTCTTTGAGTGAATGTGTGTGTCTGTCATAGTGAGTCAAATCAGTAAGGATGTTTGAGTCAGTGTGTGTATATCAGTGTATATGTATCTGAGAGTTTGTGTCTGTCAGTGTGTGTGTGTGTGTGTCTGTCAGTGAAAGTCTGGGTTGTTTAAACAGTGTGTGTGTCAATTACTGTATGTGTGTGCCAATAACTGTGTATCTGTCAGTGAGTGTATGTCAGTGCATGTGTCAATGAGGGCGTGTGTCTGTCAGTCAATAAACTAGCTTTGACACAAAGTATCGGTGCAAATTTAGAGTAGGAGGTGCCTGAATTTAGTAGTGCCTAAGGTAGCACAAAAGCAAGATAGACCCCTGCCTGAGGGTTATCTCTCCTGCTCTACTTTATCAATCAATTCTTCTGCATACCATCTATGCCGAGGAATTGATTGACAGGTGGGAGAAATACCTATTTTTAAATGAGAATTTCTCCCAATCCATGTAAATGGGATTTGATGCTCTTTAAAAAGAGCAAATGTACTGTTGGACATGACAGGCTCCCTTTAATTTTAATATCCACTGGAAAGCAGTTGACATACTATGAAAATAATGAAAAATCTAAAAATCTATGTTAATGATTAAGGGAACATAGTTCTATGAGGGAACCAGAGCACCTTTTCATCATTTTTTTTATGAGTAATGCTCTCTCTCTCTGTCTACATGTAGAGAGAAAGAAAGACAGAGAGTTTTATAAGAATACCATACGCATTTACTTTCTATGCAGACGTTAAAGCTTTTTTCAGAAAGGACATTACAGTATATCATCTACATAAAGTACTTGCTTAGAGATGTCTTTATTTAGCTTTAAATCTGACCGCTATAAATTTCCAAAAATTTTAATTACTTCCTCATCATCAACATCAGTTACATTGACCTGTTCAATGAGGGATAGTTGTGAGGTTGAAGGTGAAAATACACTTTGAATGTCTTCTGGATCCACTTGTTGAATTACAGGAAGATATTCATCTGATTCATGGTATGGAGAGTCATATTCCATTTGATTGCAGTCATATGAAGCCATGCTTTGTCCACACTCATCACTGCGTCCGGGCACAGGGCAAAGTCCATCACAACCAGAGAAAAGGGCTTCCTGTTTTTGGCAATGATCATCATAATTCATGCCCTCTTGCAATGTGGGATAAAAAACCCCGAGTGGAAAAGGAGGAAGAATGAATGGGCAGGTGCTGTGTGGGATGAAACAACAATACTGATTGTTACAAGCTTGTTTAGCATAACGGCACTGCAAGCTAAACAAAAAAAGCAAACAAGATTGATGTAACTTAATAAATGGACCCGAGAGTCAGAACATTACTTGAAAATGTGGTCACCTTGGCTTGATGGTTTTAATACACAAGACATCCTGACAACTTTAGGATGATTTACTTCAAATAAATGTATGTCAGGTACTTCTTAAAGGTATATCTCATATATAGATGAAAAAATGAAGGTTGCAATTTATGAACTATTCTGCTGGTTCAAAAGAAAAGTGAGCTGTATAATCTCCAAGAAAAGTTACCTCTTATTATTGTGCCTTAACAGAAGAATGGCAACATTTGAGCCTAAACGTAAGAGAGATCTACATTTAGGACTAACTGTTGCCACTCTCAGTTAAAGGACCACTATAGGCACCCAGACTACTTCAGCTCAATGAAGTGGTCTGGGTGCCAGGTCCATCTAGGGTTAACCCTGCAGCTGTAAACATAGCAGTTTCAGAGAAACTGCTATGTTTACATATGGGTTAATCCAGCCTCTAGTGGCTGTCTCATTGACAGCCGCTAGAGGCGCTTTCACGCTTCTCACTGTGATTTTCACAGTGAGAAGACGCCAGCGTCCATAGGAAAGCATTGAGAATGCTTTCCAATGGACTGACTGAATGCGTGTGCGGCTCTTGCCGTGCATGCGCATTCAGCCGATGACGACCGAAGGAGGATGAGAGTCCCCAGTGCCGAGGGAGCCCGGCGCTGGAGAAAGGTAAGTGTTTAACCCCTTCCTCCCCCTAGAGCCCGACGGGAGGGGGGCCATGAGGGTGGGGGGGACCTATTGACACTATAGTGCCAGGAAAACGAGTTTGCTTTTCTGGTACTATAGTGGTCCTTTAATGCACAATAAAAAGATAACTTTTCTACACAGAGATTGTGTAATTTAAACTGTGGGTGGGAGTTTCAAATAGAGCATCTGAGTTGAGAGAAAGCGATGGGTGGGTCCCACTGGGGGTTTGCCCCTTTCTTTTTTACATATATATCTACATCTCTACACATTTCCTCTTTCGCTTTGCTTACTGCTAATATTCTTACCCTTCCATGTTTCCAGTGTGAAAAAAATATTTTGTTTCATTAGTAATCTGAATGTGTTGTTTTTCTACTTGAAAATAAAACCATTAAAAAATGGTTATTTTGTAAAAGTATGTTTTAGATAAAACTCTGTATAAGTTGTCTTAAAAGTATTTGAATTAACTGAAATGGCTTTGTCACTTTTTTTTGGTGGGTGGGGGACTGCTCTTTTTTTTACAAAAACACCCAAAGATGACGAACTCTTTTGATGCAACTTATCTTATGATGCGAGAGAAGAAACCTCTTCCCCACAACTATCACTAAAGTCATTTGTGAGAAATTATAAAACTTGATGATGGCAGATTTTACCATAAGGATTTCTGATTGGATATTGAAAGGCATATGCTTATCAGTTACCAACACTTGATTACTGCTGTTCAGCTGTGCATTTTTCAACACAAAATATGGATTCAAGCAATAAAGTACAAACTGATCAGCCACAACAATAAAACCACCTGCCTAATATCATGTAGGTCTGCCTAGGCTACCAAAACAACTCTGATGCATCGAGGGATGGACTCTGCAAGACGTCTGAACATGCCCTGTGGTATCTGGCACCAGGAGATTAGATGAAGATCCTTTAATCCCTGCAAGTTGCTACATGTGGCCTCCATGGATCGGATTTATTGTTCCTGCACATCCCACAGATGCTCAATCAGATGGAGATCTGGGAATTTTGTAGGCTAAGGCAACACCTTGAATTATTTGTTATGTTCCTGAAATCATTCCTATTTTTTTTTTTTGCAGTGTGGCATGATGCCTTATCATGTTGAAAGAGGTCTCTGGCGTCAGGGACACTATGGCCATAAAAGACTGTGGTCTGTAACAATTTCTAGGTAGGGGGTACTTGTCAAAGTAATATCCACATGAATGCCAGGACCCAAGGTTTCCCAGCAGAACATTGCCCAGAGAATAACACTGCCTCTGCAAGCCTTCCTTCTTCCCAAAGTGTATCCTGCTGCCCTCTCTTCCCCAGGTAAACGACGCACACACAATCGGCCATCCATCTGATCTAAAGAAAATGTGATTCATCATCTGGCAACCTTCTTCCATTGTTCTATGGTCCAGTTTGGACACTCATGTCCCCATTAAAAGTGCTTTCAGCAAGGGACAGGGTCACTCAGACCGGTCTGCAGCTACACAGCTCCATATGCAGCAAACTGAGATGCACTCTGTGTCTTGACTCCTTTCTAGGGTTTTAATAGGTACTAGCCACTACACAGTGGGGACACCACACAAGACATGTCATTTTAGAGATGCACTGACCCATTTATGTAGCCATCACTATTTGGCCCTAGTCAAAATCACTCAGATCTCTTTGCATGCCCATATTTCTGTTAGTAATGCTGCTGCTAAATAATATACCGTCTATCTGCACTTGTACACATCAAAATGTAAAGGTAGCATTGTAAGCAACAAAAACATCTTACCTGGAAGGCATAAATTGAGGTCTGTGCATAAAATAGGGATGATGAAAAGAATAGGGCATGGGAGCTCCAAGGAGACAAGGCATAAAGTGTGGTGCCTGATATCCATGTGGAAGGCTCTGAGTTGGAGGGATGCATCCAGATCGATTACAGGAGGGAATACTTCCAAATTCATTTGTATGATGCAGATCAGGAATGGAGTAAGTGGATAATGCTGTGGTCTGGGTCTGTGAGGCCGTGGTCTTGTTGTCTGCAAGCAATGATGATTCAGAGTCTTGAATGGGTGGACTCACAGCCTGTTCTGGTTCTGATATGGTAGATGTTGGCTGTACTGGCAGTGGGGAAGATCTTACTGTCTCTTTGGTACAATTTTCAGTGTATGGCTCCAATCCTGTGATGGGCATTATAAAGAAATGACTTAGTTGAGGGGGTATTCAGTCAGGTTAAGAAACATTAAGCTGTAGAAACTTTAAACAAGCTAGTATATATTGTCTGTATTAAGTGTATTAGTCCACACCTCCACCACCCCTCCAAAAAAAAGGCAGATAAAGTGAGTTTAATAAATTGAACTGAAGATTTCATTGGACATTGTTTAGTTTTTAAGAGAAGTCAAACCTAGGATTAAAGGGAAACTCCAGTGCCAGGAAAACAATCCGTTTTCCTGGCACTGCAGGTCTCCTCTCCCTCCCACCTCCCAATCCCCGGTAGCTGAAGGGGATTGGGAGGTCACTTACCTGAGACACCGACTGTAACAAGCGCTTACCTTTCCCCGCCGGTCCCGCGTAGCGCCGGGTCCTCCTCCGATCCTTCCGGGGGGCGGCTCAGCTATTCTGACGCCGGCCGCTCGGATCACGCCCACATTTATGACATGGTGCATGCGCGCCGACGTCAGAGTAAAAAGGGCGCCAAAATTCAAACGTGGCCACGCTCCCGGACTTTTTGGGGGCGTGGCTACGAAATTAAAGCCAAAGAACCCACACTATAAAAGGGCTATCATGACACTTGTCAGATGTTCTAGTGTGGTTCTTGTTTAAGTCCCCTGGTGCTATCTTTTCTATTTGTCCTTCCTGGTATTTGACCCTTGGCTATCTCTCTGACTATTCTGTGTTCTGGTTTCCCGTATCTTGGCTTGGATAATCATGTGCCCGTCTTCCGTATTCCCTTGACCTCTGGCTATTTCTTTGACTATTCTCAGACGCTAGTCCGGCCATTATAAGGTCCGGTAACCGTCTTCCTGTGGGTTTTCACGCTGTGTGAAGGGGTCACTGTTGTGACTTTGGTCACTGTCGTGACACCGACGATGTCCCTTGGCGGTGGTTTCTTCTCACTGCCGCTCCTCCTAGTCATCACGTCGGCCGGTGGGCGAGACTAATCCCGCCCACCGGCTGGGGAGACCTAATGCGCATGCTTTTCAATGCTTTCCTATGGGGAATTGAGCAACGCTGGAGTTCCTCACCCAGCGTGAGGACATCCAGCGATGCTCTAGCACAGGTTTTCTGTGCTATAGAGCAGGATGTGCCCTCTAGTGGCTGTCTGGTGGAGTTAACCCTGCAAGGTAATTATTGCAGTTGATAAAAAACTGCAATAATTACACTTGCAGGGTTAAGGGTAGTGGGAGTTGGCACACAGACCACTCCAATGGGCAGAAGTGGTCTGGGTGCCTGGAGTGTCCCTTTAAAGGACAACTGTCACCTCAAAACTATTCTGTTTACATAATAACCCTTTCAAGTATAGAAACAAAATACATTTTTTAAAATAACTATTTGTTAAATAAAAAAACAAATAAAAAAAGAGAGAAAGCTCATCCCTATCTTCAGTATATGACAAGATCCTACAGCCATATACATGCACCTTGAGTCAGACAGAGTTTGAATTCGACAGCTGTAGAGACTACAACAGAGTCTGACTGATCCAAGATGCATGTATATGGCTGAAGGATCCTGTCACATACTGAAGGTAGGGATGAGATTTATTTTCATTTTCTTTATATACTTATTTAACAAAAATAATTGTTCTTTTTTTACAACTCGATGATTGAAGTTGTCTTTAAATAGGAAGAATTTTTTTTTTTACAGGTTTAGGGTTTAGTTGCTAACTTTGGGAATAAGGAAAGGGGCTTGTTCAGTTTTTGAAAGGGTTACATTTTGTGTTAGTGGAAAGGGGTGATAAGGGCATGTGGGGTTTTAATAGTTATTTGCAAAGTACTCACCCTCCTATGTGTTCTATTGTCAAGCCAGTCTCATAAGATTGTTATTAGAACTGCAGGAGCAGTTATAACCTGTGCATCACACAGAGCTTTCTTTGCCTGCTTCTCCTGCAAAGCAGTTCCTGTGTGAGAAGTTACTGGTGGACGTTGAACACAGACATTTCAACCACCTATAAACAGGGCCGGACTGGTGATTCCAAAGCAGCCCTGGAAAAAAATAAATCTATGCCAGCCCCATAAGTCATTGCGCCATATATTGTCGCATGTAATATGTAAGGCTATGTCTTGCCAACCTAGATGATTGATATATATATATATTTTTATATATAAATCAATCTTTTTCCAGTATAAAATATTGGTCCTTTCAGAGTAACATTTTTAATAATACAGTAAGCATACTCACATGCAGACACAGACAATCTCACTGACACAAGCTGATTGATACACAGCCTCATAGACAAATAATCTCACTGAAATACATAAGCTCATTGACATAAAAAACACAAGCTCACTCACTAGCATGCGCACACACACACATGAAAGCAAGCTCACTCACTAGCAGGCGCACACACACAATGTAGTGGTTCTGGTGTCTATAGCCTGTCCCTGCAGGATTTTCAATGTAAACACTGAATTTTAGAGAAAAGGTAGTGTTTACATTGCTTCCTAGTGACAGACACTCAGACGGTCACTAGAGGTGCTTCCTGTGTCAGTGCGGATTGGCTGAGATCATCAAGCTTGATGATCTCAGCCATAGAGGCAGGGCCAGTCGAGGGGAGACCAGCACGACGTGGGGGGGCGTGGGGAGGGAGGTGAATAAAAGCACACATACACACACACACATACCATGACAGACACACACCATGACACAGACAGACTGTGACACAGACACACACACACACACGGTGACACAGACAGAAACACAGACACACCATGACTGTGACAGACAGACACCATGACAGACAGACACACACACACCATGACAGAGACACACACATACCATGACAGACACACACCTTAAAAAAGACACACACACACACCTTGACACACACACACACCATAACACAGACCGTGACACAAACACACAAACACTATGACACAGACAGACACACCATGACACCATGACACACACACATCATGACACAGAGAGACCGTGACACAGACAGACACACATTACATGACACAAACAGACACACACACACACACACACACCATGACACAGACAGACACACATTACATGACAGACACACACACACCATAATGACACAGACACACATTGCATGACACAGACAGACACACACACCATGACAGACAGAGACACACACACACACCATGACACAGACAGACACACACAATGACACAGACACACATTGCATGACACAGAAAGACACACACACCATGACACAGACAGAGACACACACACCATGACACAGACAGACACCATGACAGACAGACAGACACACACACCATGGCACAGACACACACACACACCATGACACAGACAGACACACCATGACAGACAGAGACACACACACAATGACACAGACAGACACACACACCATGACACAGACACACACACAATGACACAGAGACACACACAATGACAGACAGACACACACACAACATGACACACACACCATGACAGAGACACACCATGACACAGACACACACACATACACTCACACTGACACACATCATTTCTACCTGTGTGCTGGCGGCCGCATGGGGGAGCTGGCTGTTCTGTCTCTGCTCCCCCGCCCCAGCGCACTGCTTAATGAGACCAGGGCCGGAATATGACGTCATATTCCGGCCCCGGTCTCTTTCTAGCGCGCGAGGGCGGGGGAGCAGTGACAGAACAGCCAGCTCCCCCTGCGGCTGCCAAAAGAGCTCCCTCTGCAGCCGCAAGAAGAGCCAGCTGCCTGCCCGGCCCCAAGTGCCGACGGCCCACCAGGAAATTTCCCAGTATCCCGGTGGGCCAGTCCGGCCCTGCATATAATTGTTCCTGCAGCTTTGCTATCAAGCCTAGAAGGCTGCCAGGACTAAAGAGGACATTGACCGAGGCTCCTGATACTTATCTTTCCCTACCAGCCCACTTCAACTTAAAAAGACATGCATTATAAGTGCTGATATGCAACCCCTACAGGTACCTAAACATGCATCAATAGGCAGGAACCTACTTTGTCTAATGGGAAATCTGTCTCTAAGCTTAGATTACTCCCAGGGAAAAATAAGAAAGAACATTTTACGGTGGTGGAGGCACAAACTGAATGGGCAAAGAAAGACAAGGTGTTATTAATGAAGATGAAGCTGCTTGGAAAGGACAACAATCAGCTGATGCACAAACTATCACACTTCTGGAGAATAAAGAGAGTTTCCCTATGTGAGAATGGACAGGAGGAGCCCATAAAATGCTTTGATTTTATTTAGGTGCTGGTGGAAGAAACCTGTTTCTGAGTGCCCAGTTTAATTTCAAAATTCTTTGAAATTCCTCTAAAAATATAATATATCTAAAACAGGGATTGAGATGAATTTCTGATGCACGTGTTGTCTAATAATATTGGCTTTTTTAGTGGAAAAGTCCCATCCTATTTATTGTTTTCTTTTGTCTTTTTTACCAAAACAGGGACTGCTCTATGCAAGGTTAATATTCATCTTTAATTTATTTTTTCCTTATGCTTCTGCATTTATTTTACATTTATTTTATTTTTTTATTGTGTAAATTCCTCCCTGATACAGCTTGTGTTTTACTATACCTCCACAATATGGTGAGCTTCTGTGCTACCTGTTTCTACTATCTACAGCAGGGGTTTTCCCAATTAATTTTTCCTGTGGAACCCTTTGACATAGTGCATCAACATCATGCTCCCCTCCCCTTCCCTCCAAAAAAAAAAAGTGGCACACAGATACACACACATTTTGACACACAAATACACACACCTAGACACACATTGTGTATCTGTCTGTGTGTGTATCTATCTGTTTGTTAAAGTGTGTGTATCTGTGTTTGTATGTGCCTGTGTGTCAAAGTGTGTGTATCTGTGTTTGTATGTGCCAGTGTGTGTATCTGTGTGTCAGTGTGTATTTATCTGATACACAGATACACACACTGGCAAATAGTGGCACACAGATACACACATTGACACACTGTGTATCTGTGTATCTGTTTGTCAAGGTGTGTGTATCTGTATGTCAAAGTGT